CGGCGCCCCCTGGTGAGCCCCCGCTTCCTGCAGCCCGGCGCCCCCTAGTGAGCCCCCGCCCTGCTCCCTGCAGTACGGCGCCCCCTGCTGCACCTGCCTGGCTCCCCACAGCACAGCCCCCTCTGCCAACCCCTGACCCCGCTCCCTGCAGCACAGAGCCCCCTGGTGAGTCCCAGCGCTGCTCCCTGCAGCCCGGCGCCCCCTAGCGCTATGCTGCAGCACTGACCTGCCTGACCCGGGTGGAGCGGCGCTCCTGCCTCCTAGTTCCCTCCTCGTCGGAGTCGTTTCTCTCTCGGGAGATGGGGTAGCTCTTCCCGGAGGCTGGGAAGTGACAGGGAACCATCAGCTCGAGGGGCTGGGCCTGGAGTCCAGGCTGCATCCTGTTCTAGACGTTTGCACCACCCCCTGATCCGGAACCTCTCCCTTCTGGATACCCAGGCCAGGCCCAGCCTGTTGAATCTAGATCCCGCCAGGGAACGTCTAGATGTGTGTCTGTTCTAGAGGCCATGCGAAGCTTGGACAGAACCCACCACCCTGTGATCTAGAACCTCGCTCCATCTGAGCCAGAACTCACTTGTTCAAGACCCAGCACCTTCCTTCTCCATTCTTGCTGCCTCGCCGGTTTTCCAGCTCCTCATGCAGTGAGGTTTCTTCAACTGCACTGGTCTGACCCCCCAACCAGATCTCGCATCCAGATAGCAAAGGATCATGGGACCCAGTGTTCACTTCAAAACTATCTGAGTGGCGTGGATCTAGAGTGATCTAGGTTCTAGACTGATATCCTGGTCTCTCAAAACTCTTATCTGGAGCAGACAGCATTCTAGATCTCTACTGAATATGGTGTCAAAGAGTGCACGAGGGGTCTAGACCCAAGCAATATTTTAGGTGTCTCGGTCTAGACCCCCTGGTTCTAAAATGCTTGGTTATTGTGGCGAAGAGAGCTCATGAACAGAGACAATGACACACCCCTGGGGAGAGCAAGGTTCTAGATCACCTCAGATTTCTGGGTCCCACGCACCCTTCTGGAGCGAATCCCAGACTGGGGCTGCATGTTCTAGACCAGTCCAAGTGCTATGTTTACTAGCTTTCAGTCCGCTCGTTCCAGAATCCCACTCCAGAACACCAACTCCAGAGCATGCTGTTCTAAATCCCAGAGTTCTAGAGTCCAGTCAGCCACCTGCTCCAGATGCAGAGGGCAAAGCTCGCTCCAGCCACAGAAAGGGGAATGGATACAGGTAGTACTGGGCAGACCCTGAGATGCAAACCTGGCAGCAGCCCTGCCATTGGCTGACACCCTCCTCTGCAGTCAGCCAATCAAAGGCACCCATTTCCACCTCACCCGGTGGCCTGGGTTCTGAAGAAGCCTCATGCCCATTGGCTGAATGCTGAGGGGAATCCCAGCCAATCAGATGTGCCCGGTGCCCCCACACAGGCTGAGAAGAACCAGGGTCCCTAGGCACAGACACTAGGGACTGGGTCCCACCTCACACTCACCCTCCAGTTCGGCTGCCTCCCGCGCCTCCCTTTGCAGCCGCTGCTGCAGCAGCTCGTGCTGCTTCTCCAGGTATTGCTTGATGAAACTGTTCTGGCTCATCTCCTCGCCGATCTGCAGGGAGATGAGAGAGTGAGGGGGCAGGATGCCTGGGTTCCATCCCTTGCTCTGCAGGGGGAGGGGGGATGGTGGTTAGAGTGGGGGTGGGGCTGGAAGCCAGGACTCCTGGGTTCCGTCCCTGGCTCTGGGGGGGAGAGGGGGCGAGGGGGGGGGGGGGGGGCGGGGAGCCAGGACTCCTGGGTTCTCTCTCCCGGCTCTGGGAAGGCAGTGAGCTCCAATGGTTAGGGCAGGGGGGCAGGGAGCCAGGACTCCTGGGCTCTCTCCCAGCTCTGGGAAGGCAGTGGGCGCTAGTGGTTAGGGCGGGGGGGCTGGGAGCCAGGACTCCTGGGTTCTCTCTCCCGGCTCTGGGAAGGCAGTGGGCTCCAGTGGTTAGAGGGAGGACTAGAAGAGGGAACACTGTGGGCTGGCGGTGGCTGGGGCAATGGAAGAGCCCTTGTGCTCCCTGCACCTGTGCTCAGACACCCCCCCCCCACCGGTGCTCGTGACGGGGTCTCACCTGGGAGTTGGGCTGGAAGGTGGCGTGCAGGGTTGAGTGCTTCTGGAGGTTCTCGAGCATCAGGGCCTGGGACGGAGAGACAACGAGCTCAGAGACGGATCCCTGCTGCCGAAGGGGCCCCGAGCACTGGCCCCCCAGCCCAGCCTCCACTCCCCAGCTCCTCCAAGCCCTCCTGTCCCGACCCTACAGACAGGGCCTGCCCCCGCCCGGCTGAGCCCGACCCTCACACGCATGACCCCACCCAACCATCCAAGTGCTCTCCTTTAACCCATCCACAGCCTAACTCCCTCAATGGACTGTCACGGCCCGACCGAACACCCTCTCCCCACCCTTCATCCGTGACTTGACCCAACCCAGCTACGCCTGCCCTGACAACCACCTTCCCACCCAATGTCCAGTCGCAGCCCCTCCAACCCAGCAGTCATCCCAGCAAGCCTACATTCAAGGCCTGACTCAACCCTACCCATGCAATGTCTACTCTGTAACCCACCGCACAACCCGAGACCCCCAGTCGACTCTCTCAACACGACGCCCATGGCTGAGCAACTCAGTGTTTGCCATTCAACCCACGTGACCCTCCACCAGCCACAGACCTAGCTGTATAGCCCTGAAAATCCACCATTGCACAGACTCTGAACAGCCTCTGCTACGTTCCCGGACCTTCCCAGTACATCCGCCACCCAAACCAACTCCACCGTGAGACAACACCTGTCAGCCATGCTCAATCCGCCAACATCCCCATCCATCGCACTCAACAGCCACCTTTCAACTCACCCATCCAGCTTCATCCCATCTCAATCCATCTGCCGCCCCGTCCACACCTGCCAAATGATTAACCCAACAGAACTACACAAGAGTGGCCATCCAACCCCGCCCAGGGCAGCACTGTTACAGACTGGATTCAAAGCCCACGATTATCAATGAGATGAAAAACTGTCCTTCGTTCAGGCTTAGCACAAATAACAGTCGGAGTCTCCAAGGCACACCCAAGGCCACTCATGAATACAAACAACTCAGACACAAAGGTTCTCACCGAGTCCTGTTTTCGGGATAAGGGTACGTGTGGGTCAGAGTGTGAGAATACTAGACTCAGCACAAGCGAGAGACAAAAACATGGACACAGAGAGAAAGCCAAGCAGGCAGATTGGACGCACAGTAACGTGGCCTGAAGAAAAAACTAAAAGCAAAAGCTTTTTGGGCACAGAACTGGCTGGAAGGCAAGCCCAGGACAGCAAGCAAAGGAATCATCTGCTGGTGTTGGATTCCTCCTGCATTCAGAGAAAGGAGATTATGTATGTTCTTTGTAAGCAAACAAAACTGCAGTAGACAAAACACCAGATTCCATTGCCAATTTCTACTCCCAGTTGGAAAAACCCCAGGGCACTGGACTATTCACTCGACCCAAATGAGGTGGATATACGTAACCTAATGTTCTGAACACAACCACCACCCAATCCAGTTCCACAGCACAACTCAACTACAACCCAGCCCAATGTCGGCGGCCAAACTAAACCATCACCACCACCCAATCCAATGCAACCGCACAAATCAACTACAACACAGCCCAACATCAGCTGTCCGACCCAACCACTACGGCCCAAGAAAATTCCACTGCACAACTCAACGAGAACCCAACCCAAAATCACCTGCCCAACCCAACCTCCACCGCCCAATCAAATTCAATCGCCCAACTCAACTAGAACCCAGCCCAACACAGGCTGCCCAACTAAACCACCAACGCCCAATCCAGTTCCACTGCACAACTCAACTAGAACCCAGCCCAACATTGGCTGTCCAACACAACCACCACTGCCCAATCCAATTCCACTGCCCAACTCAATTACAGAACAAACCAACATTGGATGCCCAATTAAACCACCACTGCCCAATCCAATTCCACTGCACAACTCAACTACAACCCAGCCCAACCCAACCACCGTTGCCCAATCCAATTCCATGGCCCAATTCAACTAGAACCCAACCCAATATCGGTTGTCCGATGCAACCACCACAGCCCAACGTCGGCTGCCCACTCCAACCACCACCGCCCAATCCAGTTCAATTGCACAACTCAACTAGAACCCAGCCCAAGACTGGCTGCCCAACACAACCACCACCACCCAATCCAATTCAACTGCACAACTCTAGTAGAATCCAACCCAACACTGGCCGCCCAATCCAACCGCCACCACCCAATCCAATTCCACCGCCCAACTCAACTAGGACTGAACCCAACATCGGCTCCCCAACACAACCACCGTCTCCCAATTAAATTCCACCGCACAACTGAACTAGAACCCAACCCAATCATTGGCTGTCTAATGCAACCACCACCGCCCAATCTAATTCTACCGCACAACTCAGCCAAAACCCAGCCCAACGTCGGCTGTCCAGTCCAACCATGACCGCCCAATCCAGTCCAATTGCACAACTCAACTAGAACCCAGCCCAACATTCGCTGCCCAACTAAACCACCACCACCCAATCCAATTCTACCGCCCAACTCAACTACAACCCAGCCCAACATTGGCTGCCCAATCTAACCGCCACCACGCAATCCAATTACATCACACAACTCAACTAGAACCCAGCCCAACATCAGCTGTCCAACACAACCACCACCACCCAATCCAATTACACCGCCCAACTCAACTACAGAACAAACCAACATTGGATGCCCAACTCAACCACCACTGCCCAATCCAATTCACTACACAGCGCAACTAAAACCCAACCCAATGTTGGCTGCCCAACTCAACCACTGCCAACCAGTCGAATTCCTTTGCAAATTCAACTACAACTGAAGCAAACAACCGCCACCCAATTTAATTCTACTTTGTAACTCAACAACCTAATCCAGTGTAGACTGTCGAACTCAACATCTGCCATACAACCCACTCCCTCCATACAACTCGGGAACTCAACCCAATGTTGACTGTCCAACACAACAGCTGCTATCCAACCTATTCCACCATATATCTCAGACACAACTCAACTCAACATCGATCATCCAATACAATACAGTCCAGTGCTAGCACAACATTCACTCTCCAACCAAACCGACTGTGTCCCTGAACCACAACTCCACCAACCACGAACTGTCCAACAGAACATCCACACGAAGCCCTGCCCCCCACATTGGTGATAGAGTGGGATTTCCCCAAACCTCAACCACCCTGAATTTGTGGTAGCAAGAGGATCCCCCCAAGCCTCAACCCCTCATTTGTGGTACCTATGGGATCTCCCCAAACCCCGCTCCCCATTGGAGTCAGCAGTAAGATCTCCCCAAACCCCTGTCCCTCCGTTGGTGGGGGAAGTGGGATCTCCCCAAGCCCTGCTGCTGGCGGCAGTGGGATCTCCCCAAGCCCCGCCCCCCCGTTGGTGGGGGCAGTGGGATCTCCCCAAGCCCCGCCCCCCGCTGCTGGCGGCAGTAGGCTCTACCCCGGGCCCCCCCCCCCCCCCGCGCCCCCCCGGATCCCCCCGTCCCCGCCCCCCGTCCCTCCGAGGGTCGGATCCCCGCGCATGCGTGCTGGCTCCCCCCCGGGGCCCCGGGCCCTGTGCCGGGCGGGGAGCGGGGGTCCCCCCGCGCATGCGCGCTGCGCCCCGCGCCTCACCCCGCGGAGCCGCTTGATGAGCGCGCTCTTCTGGCCGCTCTTGGCCAGGCCGCGCTGCTGCAGGGCCGCCTTCAGGTCGGCGACCCGCAGCGCCTGCAGCGGCCTCCCGTCCAGAGTCACCTCCTCCCCGTCCGCCATCTTGTGTGGCGCCGCTGCCGGCCTCCTCCCTCGCCCGGCCCGGGCCCGCTCGGCAACTTCCGGCCGCGCTTCGGCTCTTTCCGGAGACGCTCGGCCGGCTCCGGGCCGCCCCGCGCGCGACTTCGGCTCTTTCCGGCGCCACTCGGCTGCCTTCGCCCACGCGGAAGTCCCCGCCTCGGCTCTTCGGGTCTTTCCGGACTCGCTTCGGTCCGCGCCGGCGCCATCGCGTACCCGGAAGTGGGCTTCGGGACTTTCCGTCATTCCTCGGGAGCTTCCGGGTTGCGGCTCGGGACCTGGAAGTCAGGTCCAGAAGGGCTCGGGTGCGTCCGTCCTTACTCGGAAAACATCGACCACGTCCGGCACCGACTCGGTTCCGTCAATGCGCATGCGCCGGACGGCGGCCGTTCGGACGCGCTCGGTTATTTCCGCCGCCAGCCGAAGGTGAGTCCGTGCGCTAGGGCCGCTCCGGAACCGCTCGTGTACTTCCGCCCGACACTCGCGGGAGGGGCCACGGTGAAAACGAGGCTGGGCCGGGGGCTGCGCGTGGAGACGCCTGACGATCGCGGAACGGACCCGGGTGAGGACTGAGCTCTCCCCCGGCCGGGCTCTGTCCCCCTCCCTGCCCCAGGAGGCGGGGCTAACAGCATCGGGACGGGGCTATCCCGGGGGCGGGCCTGTGTTCGGGGGCGGAGCTAACAGCACAGGGGCGGGGCTGTATCCAGGAGGGCGGAGCTAACAGCACAGGGGCGGGCCTGTTCCC